GGCTGAACGCAGGGGGTGGGGGAGGCGCGCCTGCGCGCGGGAGGCGGGGCCACAAGAAGGGACTGGGAATGGGCGTGGCGTGAGACAGGTGGAGCGGGCGGTGTCCCTGGGCGCGGAGCTCTGCCGGGAGTGCTGGAGAGCCAGCCCTTGGTGGCCAGTGGACGGCATCTGCCAACTTCTAAATGGCAGGCTGCTGGACTGCAGAGGTAACTGGCTAACTGACACTTCCTATACATAGTGGAAACCGAAATTTACCTTAGTCTGGCTCAGGAATCTGAGTTTGAACGATCAAGCTGAAGAGCAAAGAGTTCACAATCTGTTAGGGGTTTCCAACATATAGCGTTAATTATGGGGATTTTAGTTGTTTAAATTAAATTATTTTAATTTTCTTATGTAACTCTACAGCTCAATAGTAGCAGTAGAATAAAAATTTAAAGATAATTATAGAGCACTGGGTAGTTAGTATCAAGTGATTCCTGTAGCCCGCTCCCTTTCCCCCATCAGCCATTAGTAGTTTTAAGGATATTTATTAGCGATACCAGAAAGATAGTGATATGATTTATGTAGCTTTTGTTATGTAAGTAAGCAGTGCACATGACGTTTTCCTCTTAAGTTGCTATATTTTTGTATTTCAAAGCAGAAAATGGGCAGTATGTGTTGAAGGCTTGAATATTTCCAAAAGATTTCTGAAAAAAAAAATTCTACATCGCAGAATGAATAAACAAAGTGTGTATTAGTTGGAGAGAAATGGAAATTCTCTTTTTCTTACATTTCTCCTGCTGCCAGTATTCTGGGTTAGGAAAGATGTCACACAGTACAATATTCCCCTGTAAGCTTCTATATTTCTCATTTAGTGATGAACTACCTAAAAGTGATAACTTTTTTGGATTAATATTGAGTAAAGGGTGGAATATCACTTTTCATTTATGCTTTTTGATTGAGTTATTGAAAATCGATTTTATAATTAAAAAGAAACTTTGATTTAATGTAGTTTCAAGCTTCTTTCTTCCTTTCAAGTCCTGAAGTTTTTTGTTTTTTTTTTTTTTTTTAAATATATTTTATTAATTTTTTTACAGAGAGGAAGGAAGAGGGATAGAGAGTCAGAAACATCGATGAGAAAGAAACATCGATCAGCTGCCTCCTGCACACCCACCACTGGGGATGTGCCCACAACCAAGGCACATGCCCCTGACCGGAATCGAACCCGGGACCCTTCAGTCCGCAGTCCGACGCTCCATCCACTGAGCCAAACCGGCCACGGCCAAGTCCTGAAGTTTTTTAACTGTGAATTTCCTTTTCTTCCCTGGTATTCATACTTTTGTTTTGGATGTTTATGACTAGGAAAATAAAATTGGTTGACCACTCCAACACTTCTGAGATGAAAAGGAACAGAGGTGATACCACATGAGAAGAGACAAATTTAAACTGGATTTCAGGAGCCAGAGATTATTCAACAGGAGCTAATTATGTCACTCGAGGTAGGCAGTTAACCTCATTGGGACTCAGTTTCCCCAAAATAACCCAGTGGGCTTTGATTGGGTATTCTCTCTTGTGCCTTTTAGTGTTGAGATTCTATCTTTCAATATTTAAAGTGAACATGTATTTTTGTATACTTTTGCCTTAAAGTGGACATATATTTTTGTACTATTGATATAATTTTGTAATTATAATTTTGTAATGTAACTGTACTACTAATTCAATTTTGTGTAGTTGGCTGGAAGGGTCTTTTGTTGTGGACAACTGTGGTGTATCAATATAGTGGCTTGCCTGCTTTAAACAGAATTTATGGATGGCCATAGAGAGAGGTGTCTAGGTGTCACTGTCATACTCTCTACACTGATACCAATAGATGAGAAAGAGGATCAGAAGAGCTTCATGTATAGATGCTTAGAAGGGCCCTATAGTTGATTTAATGTTCTGCTTTTGCCATCTTAAAATTTTTAACAGTCTTTTTTAAAAATATATATATTTTATTGATTTTTTACAGAGAGGAAGGAAGAGGGATAGAGAGTTAGAAACATCATGAGGGATGAGGGAGAAACATCGATCAGCTTCCTGCACACTCCCTACTGGGGATGTGCCTGCAACCAAGGTACATGCCCTTGACTGGAATTGAACCTGGGACCCTTGAATCCGCAGGCTGATGCTCTATCCACTGAGCCAAACTGGTCAGGGCAACAGTCTTTTTAAAAATGGGGCCTGCATTTTCATTTTGCACTGGACCTCATGAGTAGAAGAAAAGGAATCATAAAGATCAGAGTATAAATGCAATTGATTCTAAAATAACAATACAAAAGATCACTGAAACCAAGAGCTGGTTCTTTGAAAAGATAAACATGATTGACAAACCTTTAGCCAAACTCATCAAGGAAAAAAAGAGAGGACCCAAATAAATAAAATCAGAAATGGAAAAAGAGAAGTAATAACTGACTCCATAGAAATACAGGGATTGTAAGAAAGTATTACAAATAACTATATGCCAATAAATTGGATAATCTGGACAAAATGGATAAATTTCTAGAAACATACAACCTTCCAAAACTGAATCAGGAAGAATCAGAAAATCTGAATAAATTAATTAAAGCTAATGAAATTGAAACAGTAATAAGAAAACTGACAGTAAACAAAAGTCCTGGACCAGATAGCTTTTCAGGTGAATTTCCCCAAACATTCAAAGAAGAACCAGCTCCTATCCTCAAACTATTCCAAAAAAATTCAAGAGGAGGGAAGACTTCCATGCTCATTTTATGAGGCCAGAATTATCCTAATTCCAAAACCAGATAAGGACACTGCAAAGAAAGAAAAGTATAGGCCAATATCCCTGATGAAAATAAATGGTAAAATCCTCAACAAAATATTAGCAAACAGGATCCAGTGATACCTTAAAAAGATCATACACCATGATCAAGTGGATTTTATTTCAGGGATGCAAGGTGATATTATCCACAAATCAATAAATGTGATATACCACATAGACAAAATGAAGGATAAAAATTACACGATTATATCAATAGAAGCCAAAAAAGCATTTGATAAACTCTAGCACTAATCTATACTAATAAAAGGGTAATATGGTAATTAGGCTGGACATCTTTCAGACATCCTTCCGGACAAAGCCAGGCTGGCGGGCTGAGGCAGAGGAAGATAGGGGCAACCAGGTTGGCAGGGGAGGATAGTTAGGGGTGACCAGGCAGGCAGGCAGAGTGGTTAGGGGCAATCAGGCAGGCAGGCAGGTGAGCAGTTAGGAGCCAGCAATTCTGGATTGTGAGAGGGATGTCTGATTGCTGGTTTAGGCCTGATCCTGGCCTAAACCGGCAGTCAGACATCCCTCGAGGGGTCCCGGAATGGAGAGGGTGCAGACCAGGCTGAGAGACCCCCTCCCATGCACGAATTTTGTGCACCGGGCCTCTAGTTTATAATAAAAACCCTCAGCAAAGTGGGATAGAGAGAATATACCTCATATGGCAATATATGACAGACCCACCACCAACATCATACTCAATGGGCAATAACTAAAAGTGTTTCTTTTAAGATCAGGAACAAGGCAGGATGCCTACTTTCATCACTCTAATTCAATGTAGTACTAGAAGTCCTAGCTAAGGCAATCAGACAAGAAGAAGATATAAAAGACACCCAAAACAGAAAAGAATAAATAAAACTGTTATTATTTTCAGATGACATGATACTATATATAGAGAACCCTAAATATTCCACCTAAAAACTACTAGAACTGATAAATAAATTCAATAAAGTAGTAGGATACAAAATAAATACCCAGAAATCAGTTGTATTTTTTTTACACCAATAATAAAAGGAAACTAAGAAAACAATCCCATTTACAATTACATAAATAACACCCTCAGAATAAATTTAACCTAGAATTTAAAAGACCTGTACTTATAGAAAACTATGACACTGAAGAAAGAAATTGAAGAAGATACAAATCAGTGGAAGCATATACTTCATGGATAGGAAGAATTAACATCATTAAAATGTCCACACTACCCAAGGCAATCTATAGATTTAATCAAGATACCAATGGCATATTTTATAGAACTGGAATAAATATTCAAAAAATTTATATAGAACTACAAAAGACCCTGAATAGCCTCAGCCATCTTTAGAAAGAAGAACAATATTCAAGGAATCATGCTACCTGTTATGAAATTATACTAAAAGGCCACAGTAATAAAAACAACATGGCATTGGCATAAAAACAGACATATAGATCAATGGAACAGAATAGCGAGCCCAGAAATAAGCCCACTCCTTCATGGTCAGCTAATATTTGACAAAATAGGCAAGAACATACAATGGGGTAAAGATAGTCTATTCAATAAATGGTGTTGAGAAAAGTGGACAGATATCTGCAAAAATATAGACCACCTTCTTACAGCATACACAAGAATAAACTCAAAATGGATTAAAGACTTAAATGTTAGACTTGAAACCACAAAAATCGTAGAAGAAAATACAGGCAGTAGAATCTCAGATAAAAGAAAAAATAAACAAATGGGACTACATCAAAATAAAAAGGTTTTGCCCAGCAAAGGAAACCATCAACAAAATGAAAAGACAATTCACTGAATGGGAGAACATGTTCACCAATGATATATCTGATAAGGGGTTAATATCTAAAATTTATAAAGAACTTATACAACTCAACACTAAAAAAACAAGCAATCCAATTTAAAAATGGGCAAAAGATCTGAACAGATACTTCTCCCTGGTGTATATACAGATGACCAATAGATATGAAAAGATGCTCAACATCACTAATTATCAGAGAAATGCAGTTTAAAGTCACAATAATATATCATCTCACACCTGTCAGAATGGGTATCATCAATAAATCAATGAACAAGTGCTGGTGAGGATGTGGAGAAAAGGGAACCCTCATGCACTGTTGGTGGAAATACAGATTGGTGCAGCCACTATGGAAAGCACTATAGAGATTCCTCAAAAAATTAAAAAATGGAATTGCCTCAAGATCCCATGATTTCATTTCTGGGAATATATCTGAAGAAACTCGAAACCCCAATTTGAAAGAATATATTCACCCCTATATTCATTGTTGTGTTATTTACAATAGCCTAGATCTGGAAACAGCCTAAGTGTCCATCAGTAGGTGAGTGGATAAAAAAGCCATGGTGCATTTACACAGTGGAATAGTACTAAGCCATCAGAAGAAGGAAATCTTACCTTTTGTGACAGCATGGATGGACCTGGAGAGAATTATGCTAAGTGAAATAAGCCAGTCAGCAAAAGACAAATACCATATGATTTCACTTACATGTGGAATCTAATGAACAAAATAAACAAATAAAATAGAAACATATTCATAGATACAGAGAACAGACTGATAGCTATCAGAGGGGAGGGGTTGTGAGGCCGAATGAAAAAAGTGAAGGGATAAAGAAAAAAAAAGCCATACTAAAACCCAAAACCCTCATAGACACAGATAACAGTATGGTGAATACAAGAGGTAAAGGAGGGTGGGGTGTGGTAGAAGAGGGTAATTGGTGACAGAAGGAGACTTGATTTTGGACGATGGACACAGAATACAGTATATAGATGATATATTGTAGATTTGTACACCTGAAACATATACTTTTATTAAGCAACTAAAGGCCCGGTGCACGAAATTTGTGCACTGGGAGGGGGGGGCAGGTGTCCCTCAGCCCAGCCTGCACCCTCTCCAATCTGGGACCCCTCCAGTTGGACCTCCCTCTCACAATTCGGGACTGCTGGCTCCCAACCGCTCGCCTGCCTGCCTGCCTGATTGCCCCTAACCGCTTCTGCCTGCCAGCCTGATCATCCCCTAACCCCTCCCCTGCCAGCCTGATTGATGCTTAACTGCTCCCCTGCCAGCCCGGTTTGCCCCTAACTGCCCTCCCCTGTAAGCCTGGTCGCCCCTAACTGCCCTCCCCTGCTGGCCCGGTCACCCCTAACTGCCCTCCCCTGCCAGCCTCGTCGCCCCCAACTGCCCTCCCCTGCTGGCCTGGTCGCTCACAACTGCCCTCCCCTGCCAGCCATCTTGTGGCTTTGGGCGCCGCCATCTTTGAGGGTGGGACAGTCAATTAGCATATTCCCTCCTTATTGGCTCTGGGTACCACCATCTTTGCGATGGCGTTAGGGTCAATTAGTATATTCCCTCTTTATTAGATAGGATGCCACCCCAAGAAATTCAATTAAAATTTTTTTTTAGCGTAAGTTACATCATTCTGTCTTCATAGCAGTAATGGGAGAAGCATGGCCTTCAGGTATCATTCAGGGCTTTGGATGCAAACAACAATATCTACTTTGATTAATTTAAGTAGATTAGGAATATTCAGTATTAAAGAATTTTAGTAAGTTCATAATAATGTTAGGAAGACTGGAGAAACTATCTCAAAGCTAGGGTTCCCAAACCAAGCTGTAGAATTGATTTCCTTAGGAAACTGCTACCACTGATGTCATGGCTACAAAGTACAAACAC